TTGGGTATTGGCTTGCGTGCCTCTTCCACCAATCCAAAATTAAAAAATCTGTACCACCTTTGGATTCAGTAAACTCAAATGAAATGGTTAGATAAATCTCTAATTCAAAAATATTTCCTATTACTCCCTTTTGTTTTTTTTGTCTATGTAATAAAAGTTGGTACCCTCTACTAATTTTACCTGTACTGTCATTTTGTATCTTCGTAGATTGAGAAGATCCAATATCACCTAAATTATATTTAATATAAAATTCATTATATAATTCTATTACTACGTTTTTAACCTCACGTACTATGGTTGTAACATTTATCGCATCATAATGTAAACATTGATAATACGTACGCAAAAAATCATTTAAGCCATCCAATTTGCAACGCGGATAAAAAACACAAGCAACTAAATAAATAATGGGAATTTCGCTATAATAATGTAGCCACTTCATTTTCATTGCAACTATAGTATGTTGTAATTCAACATCATTTTCATATTCATCAAAAATTCCGACAATATTAGTACACTCTACTAAAAATAAATGTGTAGTAGGATAATAAACACCGGATAAAGTATAAGTTGCATCATTAAAAACCTTTAAAACATCTAAAATTTTTTGGCAAATATCCCACTCTTGTGGGTATAAATTAATCTGAGGTATATTATTAGAAATGAATGCACATAATAAATCTTTATATGCTAAAGATTCACTAAGCAAGTGGAAAGTAGAATTCCAACGAGTTGGAACATCTCTTGGAAACCTTTTTGGCTTTTTGCCATTTTCTCTACAAAATCTACCCCATTCTTTCATTTTTTGGGGATGTTTCCATAAAAATTGAATCGCCGTTTTTATTGGTTGAAGAAAAATATCATGAGTTTTCAAACCATCTTGTACACATAAATTTAAAACATGACAAGCACATCTAACGTGAAAAAATTTTCGGCCAAAAGCAGGTTTACAAATATTTTCTAAATCGACAATTGAAGCGGTATTTGCTGCGGCATTATCAAAACCAATTGAAAAAATTTTGTTAAGCAAATAATATTCTTCTAAAACTTGCCTAATTATTCTATAAATATTATTTGCCGTATGCTTATCATCGAAAACTCTAAATGCAATAACTCTTTTTTGAATACTCCACTCGTCATCTATCCAATGACATGTTATGCCCATGTAAGAATGATTTTGCCAATGATCACTCCAAATATCACTACCTATATGCACGCATCCATTAAATTGCATAAAAAAGTTTTGTAAATCTTTTTTTCCATTTTTGTAAAGATCTTTAATTACTCGTTTAGTTGAATTTCTAGGAACACGTTTTGCTTGTGGAGCACATGCTTTTTGTACAAATTCATTAAAACCAAATCTTTCTCCAAAATTAAATGCTAAATGCTCAACGGAAATAAATTTGCCTAATTCTTCCTTATAAGTTTTTTCATTAAAACGAAATAAAGGGGAAGTGTTAGGATTGAAGTACCCGGAAATTTGTTGTTGCCCGATATCGATTCCCGTTTCGGTTGGATGTTTGCTCCTAAGATGTCGTTTAAATGTTCCATATCCTTGTCCACCTGTATATTTATATATTTTCCCACAATATTTACAAATTATATCATACCTTTTTTGACCAATATCAAACCTTTCCATTTTCGTGAAGTGATTCCAAATGTCAGATGTAAATTCCCGTTCCGCTTCCTTTGTTGTAGATATTTCGGCAGGAGGATGAAAACTTTCTTGCGTCGGGACGCGCTCCACATCGGGAAAAATGTTGATTTCATCATCTTGAAAATCTGCATATTCACGAGAATCAAAAGAATGATGGGATTCCGTCATGATATTCTTACCTTTGCCAGTTGGCAGTCGACTTCCACTTGTCATTTTTTGAGTGGATTGAGAGAATTGAGCGGATTAATTGGGAGAATTAAGAAAGAATTGCGTGGATTGATAAAATTGAGAGAATTTAAGAGAATTTGAGAGAATTTCGAGTATTGAGAAAATTTGAGACTTGAGAGAAGAGAATTTGAGAGAATTTGAGAGAATTGTGAGTATTGAGAGAATTTGAGAGAATTTATAAGAAAAAAATGAGAAGAAAATTTAGGATTAAAAAAAAAAGAAAAGATAACCGTTGCAATTTTGCAACGGTTATCTTTTTTTGTTTTTATAAATTTTTGCCCGTTTGGGCGTTGGCCTTGGCCGTTGCCAGGGCAGCCTAAAGGCTGCCCTGGCAACGGGCCGCAAGGCGCAAGCCCACTGCCCGCAACAGGGCCTGCAGACGTGCAGGCCTTGCTACGGGGGGTTTTTTTTTTTAAAAAAAAAAAATTTGCCCGCAGCAAGGCCTGCAGATGTACAGGCCCTATTGCGGGGGGGTTTTTTTTTTTTTTTTTAAATTTTGCCCGTTGCCAAGGGCTGCCCTGGCAACGGGCCGCAGCAGCAGCAGCATGGCCTGCACCTGCAGGCTGTGCTGCAGCTTTCTTCTTCTTCTTCTTCTTCTTCTTCTTCTTCTTCTTCTTTTTTTTTGGAACCGGGCCCGGAACCGGCGGTTTCGGGCCGGTTCCGGTTCCAAACCGCGGGCCCGATCAACGGGCCGGGCCGGTTCCGGGCCGAAACCGGCCCGTGGCCATGACTACTTGGGAGTGAGGACAAATGATCGTTGCTTTCGTTGGCTTATTCATGCCTCATTAGCTTAAACAAATGACTAAATCAACTAGCTTTACTCTTATATATTTGCTGCCTCTTCCTTATCCATGGGCAGGTGACATGATTGTTCAACACAATTTGAGTATCCATATGGAAACGTTCTATGTAAATGGATTATATTCTGGCGACTTCTATTGGTAGATTTGTCCACAAATTACGGCAGGCCAAATCAAATGGAGATTATGAAGAGATTATTCTATTGATTGGAGAGGTCTAAACAACCATTAGAATGATTGCACATCGCTTCTTCGTGAAGATCAATCCAATCAAGGTGAGATATACAGATTATCTGAGGCATTTCTATCCTGTCCTAACTGGGTTTTGGAGGCTTGTTACCCGTTCGGTCGAAATTATTTAAACAAATCTCGACCGTTCAATGAAAACTTTTGAAGTGTTTACAAGTGTTTTTTTATGAAAATGTCTTCTCCGGAAACATCGTAATCACAAAATTAGTTGTTATGAAAGAAAAAACACACAAAATCACAGAGTTGTGGTTCTAAAAGCTATGGAATTAGTCACTCGTAGGAGAGAAATGTTGAACGATCAAAACTCAAAAGATGATTCACGCCACAGCCTTCAATGGATCAACCATTTGAAGATCCTGCGCTTCTCCATCTCTATTAGCATATCTTTTAGACAACATGGTCATAACGGAGGGGAGCAACAAGATTAGGATCATAATTAAGAGTCAAATTGTGATGTGCATTCTTTGCTCAAGTTGTGTGGTTTTATATATTTGCACATGAATCATGTTTTTTCCTGAAAAAGCTCTATAAAACACAAGTAGTCATTATATAAATTGTAAGGTCGGCAGCCACGGGTTGACAGAATTATAATAAGTGTGATAATTTACGTGCACTCTTTGGTATTTCCTCCGTACAATAAGTGTGATAAACAAACCAAGTGATGGTCATGGATGGACCATCCTTCGTGTAATATCACATATCTTAAGTGCAATGAAAGAGATCGTTAACTAATCCATAAATCATGTGCATGTGTGCACACTACTTTAAGAGTTTGTGGAATTAGCTCACTTACAATATTGCACGGTTGAGATATTTGAGGATTACCCTTTTTTTTTGTAAATTTGTTTTTGAAGCAGAATACTTTTCTATAATTCGAGGATATGAAGGACTCTTTATTTCTCATTCCGTTTATACAAGTTGAAATGACTACTTGAATTTCGTAAAGGACCTTATATTTCTCCTTTAGCTTTTATAACAATGAGACCACCATCAAAATTAGAACTGCGGCAGGAACAACATGACCACAACCGTACCAGACAACCTGCAAAATCAAATTTGAAGTCATATCTCCATCAACACGAGGTGGATGATGTGGAAGCATTAAATTCCATTGAAGTTAATCAACCCACAAGCCCAACTCAAGTCTCGTCAGTTAACGAAGCCTATGATATTTATGCAAGCTAAGGGAGATTTTGGCCATCACATGATCTAATGGGTCCCATGAGGAGAAGGACTCAAGATGGAGATTCTAGGAGCTGCAGATTAAAGGCTGATTCGGCTGGGTCAATTGGAGAGGGTTGTTTTCTAATTTGGAATAAATTTCCTAATTCAAGTAAACTTTTTCGTTTAAGTAGATTTCTTGATTTGAGTAGGTTTTCTAAATTTAAGTAGCTTTTTTCTAATTTGAATAGGTTTTCTAGTTTGATTAAGTTTCCTAGTTTGAGTGATTTCCTACTTCAATATTTCTTAGTTCCTATGTCTTAGTCCGTCTATGAAAAGAAAGTGCACTCTCAAATGTAAAAATTTAGATTTAGAGTTGATAATATACAAGAACTCTTCTCAAGTGAGTGAATCATTCAGTTGTTATCCAATTCTTTGGTGCTGAATCTTGAAGTTCTTTATCTTGGTTGATGGAATACTTATTTATGCTTTGGTAGTGAACTTTTCCATCCCAAAGTTATTTTCCCTCAAATGCACCAAGCACTTTGATTCATCCCATCAAACATGTTCAACATTCTCATAAACTCATGCGTCTCTTGAGTCAGAAATCACTCAACATTCCGATCAATTATGCCAATCCGGGGTTGCTAAGGGTAGGAGATGTTCAACTTACACTTAAAGTTAAATATCGCGGGTCAAGTTTTGTGTAAAATATTGACGGGTCAAGAGTAAGATTTTTTGCAACTCATTTTGCAAGATAATTTAATAATATAATATAGTATAGTATAGTATAGTATATATCCAAAGTAATCAATCAAATCTAGACATCTACATATCTTTTCAATAATTCTTTAAGAGAATTAACATTTTCTGAAGGACCATTACCCTCGTTGGACACTTCCTATTACGAACAGTCTCGTTGACAAAAATCCATCTATATATGTCGGGCTCCTAAATAGAAAGAAAGAGATATCCCTCTGGCTGAAACACAACTGGCTCACCTACTCTCCTCTCTTGTTAGCATACTAAGCTCATCATCCGTCTCTGTGATTTCTCATCCTCTGGATTGTTATCAATGGAGACACAGGTAAGCACACTAGGGAGGTCGCTCCTCGTGCCGTGTGTTCAGGAAATGCTGAAGGAGAACCCGACCAAAGTCCCGAAGAGATACATCCGCGACGATCAAGAATCTCCCGTGATCACCGACGCTTGTTCCGGCTTGCCTCAAGTCCCCGTGATCGACTTGGGGAGGTTGGTTTCGGAGGACGGTGCAGAGCCGGAGCTCGAGAAGCTGCACCATGCGTGCAAAGACTGGGGCTTCTTTCAGGTACAAAACAACAACTGCATTTCAAATACAAAGTGTTCGACAAAATGTCTGAGAAAAAAAGGGTGTTCATCGATTGAAAGAGATTAAAATCCACATGATGTTCTAAGTGCTTTTACTACATGTGGGCTCTCAACGTTGTGATAGATGGTATACGAGTCATTCAAATGGATTTGCAAGGGATGCATGGTAAGGATTAACCCAAGAGGCTGGCAAAGCTCAGGCGACCATCGCCACTAGGGACAGTTAGATGTACAATTTTTAGCCATCATTTAGTGTAGTCTAGGAGACTTTCCCCTGGAATTTCTTTATTTTGCTCCCCGGACTCACTTTTTACCTCATACCAAATCTAAGTTTCTGCATCAGCCCCTCTGCATCCTGAATTCATGGGGTCAAGATAGCGGGATATTTCTGTGCCATCCTGATTTCCTGATTTCATGTTTCGCTTTTGTTACATCACCATATAATCAACACTCAATCTTCGTAAAAGGTGTGAGAAATCAGACTTAGATTGGCATATAAGACAATTGGTTTTGCTTCGGAAGAATTTTGAAGACAAGGGCAAAAGAGATTCACTACATTATGAATGGCCTACCTTTTGATAGGATGAAGAACATGGACTTAGCGTGGCATAGAGAAGCGATTACCTTTAACAAAAAAAAATATAAGCAATTACCGAAACTATCACTTAGACATTGTAATATTGTGGAGTTAACGAAGAACAAGGAAGATCCAACACTCACAAGTTAAATTGAAAAGATACCCGGTAGATTTTGCCAAGATGTTTTTCTTAAATTGCACTATCTATGCGCGTTTCTCACTTTTAATGGGGAAATATATGCGAACAATAACCAATCCCACATTGGCAAGTCAACGTTTCCGATTGACCATGCATTACAATTTATTACATTAAATTACAGTCAATTTGAGGTAGTCCACATCTGTTGTTTGCATGCCACACTTAGTCAGTTGACCAGGTATTGACCTCGTGTTAGGAAAAGAAGACTGATTGTTGTACCTTTGAGATTTGGTAAAGCAATGTTGCTGTTAAAGGGGATTATTGCCGCACACTGTCTTTATATGAATTTGGAGATGTGAGTTCCTCGATTGTCTCTATCGTAAAGACTGCTAATAAGACAGATTTATCTATTGCAACATTCTTAATTAATGTTGGAATTGAGATCTGTTGATTACTCATCATTCAAGAGATCAGAACTTTCTCTGTCTTGATCTTAGTGGAATGCCTGTTTCTGGGTGAAGTATGAATGTTAGTGTCATGTTAACAATTGTTCAGCTGATAAATCATGAAGTGAGCCCTAAGTTGCTAGAGAAAGTGAAGAAGGGGATCGAAGAGCTGTTCAACATGCCAATGGAAGAGAAGAAGAAGTTTTGGCAGAGAGACGGCGAATTGGAGGGCTTCGGACAGACCTTTGTGTTATCGGAAGACCAAAAGCTTGATTGGGCTGACCTGTTCTACGTCAACACCCTCCCTGCTTCTCTCAGGAAGCCTCACTTGTTCCCCAAACTCCCTCTTCCCTTCAGGTTCTCTCTCTCTCTCTCCTTCACTCTTACCATGGGAAAAACAAGCATAAAAAACACAGTAAAATTATTATGTAACAGTTGTGCCACTTGGGCAAACATGCATAAAGTATGAGATCAGTTGATTAAGTAAGCGATATTGCGTCAGCATGTCACGTGATATAATCGTGATATGAACAACTTTCTTGTTTACAAAGGTTTAGTGTGGGGCGTGCTCCATAATATTCCCTTATCACCTAAAGAATGAAATTGTCTACATGGTAGAGACGATTTGGACACCTACTCAAAGGAAATGCGAACCCTAGCCATAAAGCTCCTCTACCTCATGGTGAAGGCTTTAGGAATGGAGGCAAAAGACCTTGAGGGGATGTTTGAAGACGGGTTGCAAGGGATGAGGATGAACTATTACCCACCATGTCCACAACCTGAGCTCGTGATAGGCCTAAGCTCTCACTCCGATGCTGCCGCCATCACCATTCTCCTCCAGGTCAACGAAATGGAGGGCCTCCAGATAAGGAAAGATGGGAAGTGGGTTCCTGTGAAACCTCTCCCTGGTGCTTTCATCATCAATGTAGGAGACACTGTTGAGGTAATATTGCTACATCAAATTACTCATTGGACCATATTCATGATAATTCATTGTCTCATACTCAAAGCCTTCTCTTCATTGGCTGATAGCAGATTATCACGAATGGGATATACCAGAGCATCGAGCATCGAGCAACAGTGAATGCAGTGAAGGAGAGGGTATCAATTGCAACGTTCTTCCGTCCGCGAATGGATGCTGAGATTGGTCCCGCGCCAAGCCTCATAACCCCGGAGACCCCAGCATTGTTCAGGAGGATAATGGTGGCCGAACATCTGAAGGGCTATCTAAAAAGCGAGCTGAAGGGAAAAGCTTATCTTGACGCTATGAGGGTTAGGCACGAGGAACCCTCGAAGACCTGAGTTATCTTTTGAGCATGAATGTGAAAATGGTGACACGCAGAATGGTCATGAAACCAGACTATATGATATGGGTTTTGTATCTTGTGGAGGTCCTTTTTGAGGAAGACAATAATGACTTCAAAAACTTCCTGTCAGTCTCATCTCTTGCTTATCTGAACCATCAAACAGTCTTGTGAAGTCCATGGCATTGACTTTCTGTTCCATCCTTATCTTGATCAAGTAATGAATGTGCAGCCTCGTAATAACCTAAGCAGCGCCAAATCGAGGTTCCTGAGACTATGGCTCGCATCTTACCTTAACTGATCTATATGGCTAAAGGGGCATTTTTTGAGCTTGGACATACTTATTTAACGCGGATTTCTCGTCTTTAAGAAAAAATAATGAAGAAAATCATGAGACTAAGCCAAATTTCAGAACTAAAAACAGTTTCTGAATCGTGTGGCCAGAAGTTCGGTGGACTGCAAAGTCATCATAAGGCACGGATATTGCATTTCATAATTTCTCTTTTCTTCTACGAGCAAGCCCATTTTAAGATAAACAATGGTTTCAGTAATTTCCATATCTCAAGGATCATGCGAGTGAGAAAGTTCGGGTGGATGACTTGTGTATGGAAAATGTATACATTCAATGGCATGGAGATATGAAGTAATGTCGTGCGCATAATCCTAACTTTATATTTGTTCCTTAACCACTAAGGATGAGGTTTAGCTGCAATAGGGTTGCAACATTAATATTGCTTCCGAACACATGATGCACGTTCGCATAAGCCTTTAAATCACCGGCAAGGAGATTGAACTATAAATTCATTTCATCAAAATAGGTATTCACGCTCGTTCGCATTACGTTGCTGCAGGACCATTGACATACCATTCTTTAATGAGCTAACCTATTTATATCTTTTTTTGATCGAAAACCAATTTATATTTTTTCGTGAGTTTTTTACACTATATAAACCCGTTAGATTCTTCCCATGAAAGTTATATTTCTGGAGATCCAATTCTAGCCTTGCTTTCATGTCAAAGTTGTAGTAGGATTAGGAAAATACCAATTACCCTCCTCATCCTCCACTCCATTGCCACTTTTCCGCCTCTATTATTGAAAGCACCATTCTCCATCCCAGGACAAGATACCATGAGAAAATGTACCAAATTACCCTCCCATGAAAAAACACCAAGCAAACAGCTATGAATTGCAATAAACCCTAGCCCCCTAATGGAAAACCCCAAAAGCCCCTGTGTTAACAAAGTCTAACCCCCTCCACGCACCATCACAAGCTATCATCAGATGCCGCCATCTTGTCACTGCCGTCCTAGCACCTGCAATCACGAGGCGCGACCTTGATCCAAGGTCACCAGGCTCGCACGACCTTTGGATTGAGGTTGTGGAAGCCTTGGACGATCCGACATCCATGGCAGATGATGACCTCGAATTGAGGAAGCCACTGTGGCGACCTTGATCAAAGGTCGCCGACGCCGAGACCTCACTAGGGGCATCAGAGATCACCTTGAGTTTAAAGAGAGAGAGAGAGAGAGAGCCGGCAGCCTTCCCACAACTTGGAAAGATTTTGTTTTGCAGGTTTTCAGAAGCATTCCCGGCGAGCCATCACAGACGAGAGCCTCTCACAACAGGCGGTCCTTGCTTGTCCGTAGCCGGCTGCCGTGCGTCTCCCACTGTCGTCCTTGTTTTGGAAACAAATCGGCGAATTAGGTAATTTTCCGAACTGAATTTGATTTTAAGATATTATTGCCTAATTTTAATTTATCATAATCTAATTCAATTGTTTGAGACTTTTTAGGCACCCGAAGTTAGGAAATTTTGTATTTTGAACCATGCATATAATTGGTAATTCGATCTTTAGGCATTATAATCGGGTTATGTATTGCACGAAAACGGTAATTCGATCTTTAAGCATTAAGATTGGGTTATCGATTTTATTTGTTTCCTATTTTGGTTGGATGAAATATTTGATTATTGGGTTTATTATCTCCATTTTAAGAAACTTTCCTATTTTGAAAAAAATACAAAAAATTAGGTTGCATGTTAGGATAGATTATTTTCCTAGAATAGAATTGCATGATTAGGTAATACGTAGTAATTTAGGAAAGTTTCCAATTTAGGATATGATTTAATTCAAATTATTTCCTAATTTAAATCTCACATTTGGATAGTTGCATAATTTTATTTTAGAAGAAAATAATAAAAAAATAATATGAGCATGCCATATAAAATAGGTTTGCATCTTTTGCCATGTCGTATTGCCACGTCATCATTTTTGCCATTTCATTTTGCCACGTCATCATGCTATGTCATCGTAGCCATGTTATCATGTTTGTCATGTCATTACCATGTCATTGTCATGTCATCAATGCTTTGTCACGACATGCCATGTCATTTAGTAATCGCATGTCTAGGCCTATAAAGTCAACATTGCATGACATATAAGAATAGTTCATGTTAATTGATTTGTCATTAGAATCAGATCGATTGCATTTTTCATGGCATATTAAGTTAGTAGGATATAGACATAATTTGCAAATTAGATTGCATTAGATGCATTGCATATAGTTTAACTTTCATTTAAAAAGAAAAATTGAAATAACAAAATTAATTAGAATTGGACAATTTTTTAGAAAATCATGTTTCGACTAGGCATAGCATTTTTAAGACATTCGGAAATTAATGAGCCTAAGGTATTTGAATTCTTGCCTTATTTCTAACGGTTTATTTATTTAATGCTTTGATTATTAAGTGTTGTTTTATTGGTTGTGTACTCGCATGATACCTATTGCATGTTAGTGATTTAGGCTTAAAATCAATCAAGACTACTATCAAAAATATTTTTAAAAATAAAGAAAAAAAGGTACGGAAAGGGCATTAAACTAATTTAGCATAATCATGTCCCCAAATCCATTGAATCTCTAATTCGTAGATTAATCGACTTATCAATAATTGATTAGTGGCGACTCCTGAATAAATTGATTTGCATGATAAAATTGATATGGAAGTTGCAATTAGTAGGACTTTGGAGAGTCCATGCTAAGGCTTTTGGCTTAGTAATTCATTAGTTTTCTTGATTTACCTTTGGGAAGGTCGTGATAGTCAAAACTCCAGACATTACTCATCAAATGTCGAGAGAGAGGGAGGGAGAGAGAGAAGGGGAATAAGTTAAAGATAGTGGGTCCATCTACTATATTTAAAAGGCTGTGGCTAAAGCCAGTTTGGATGTGGCATTAGCATCACCGTATGTCCATTTCCCCAACTGTTTTGTCTTGGTTTTATTTCACATCTAACCTCTCACAAGTTTTTTTGACTGAATTTAGTAATGAACATGTTCAATTAATTATTTCTTGGAGAAATCATTTAAAATTCACGCTAGGTTTTTTACTTGTACTGCTCAGCCACGGGAAAATTGTCTAAAAGTTTTAAACTTATTGCAGTTTTGCCAATTCAGTCCTAAACCTTTTAAGTTTGCCAATTGAGTCCTAAACCTTTTCACTTCTTGCCAATTGAGTTCGTCTGGCCAATTTTGGTCTCCTAGAGCTGACGTGGACGCCGGCCGGCGCCGACCATCTGGCCAACGCTAACGTGGCAATTTTTTAATATTTTTTTCTAATTTATATTTTATTTTTTTCAATTTTTTTCCTTTTTTTCTTTGGCCTTCTTTCCTTTGGCCGGTTGCTAGACTAGCCAGAGGCAAAGGCCGGCGAGGTCTGGCCGGTCGCCGGACCGGCTAGATGGAAGAAGTAAAAAAAAAATAAAAAATTCGAAAAAAAAATATATTAAAAAATTGCCACGTCAACGTCGATTGACCAAAATTGGCCGGATGGACTCAATTGGCAATAAGTGAAAAGATTTAGGACTGAATTGACAAACTTAAAAGGTTTAAGACTAATTGGCAAAAGTACAATAGGTTTAGGAGTTTTTAGACAATTTTCCCGCTCAGTCACCATCCATCATCAATTTCAGTGTAATAGAATGCTAGTTTACATGTACGCATTACACAAGTATGTGATTATTTTTCTTTCCCAGTAAATTATCATAATGAATAATAATCCGAATAGGGTTGCGCTTTTTTCACTCCCTCTTTGGCTAAAATATTCCTCAACATAATAATCTGACTATATTATCTTTTGCTGGTCTCACTTTTTAGCATCTCTCTTCTGTCAATATTTTAAGAAAGTGTTGTTACATTTTTCTGGTCTCCCTTTTCTTTTATTAATTTCTATTTCTTTTATTGAGGGTCCCACGTTCACTTTCCTTGTCTTCTTCCTTCTCTACGTTCTCTCTCATGTAACCACTCACAACAATAGAGAGGTAGAGAAATGGAGACATCTACGCTTGTGTAGGCGAAGGCAATTGAACCAGTCCTCATAAACCACAACATCACCTTCTCAAGCCGCTTGAGTAAAGGCTCTACACCATATGTCTTACGACAGCAGGGAGACGGTGTTTGTGGAGAGTGGCACATACTGGCGAGGCATGGGGAGGTTGTGCACTCTACATTTTATGAGCCCGGCAAAGGTGGAGTAGTTCGTGCCGATGAGTAGGAGGAGCTGGGAAGGGTGATGGGGAGGCTGAGGGCAGCGGCCTTAAGGCATACTTTCCGCAATTTAAAACACTTCATCGAAAAACCCTTCTATGCACAGGGAGTTAATGAAATTCGCAAAGCAGCATTGCTCACAAGCAAATCATTTTGGCATTTCATTACCTCCCAAAGCCTGACAATCAATTCCTCGCCTTCTCCCAATCTAGCTTTCGAAAATATCCACTGACCAATTTGCTAAATTTCCTCGCAAATAGCGTAAATTATATTGAGGTTGAGCGAGTCAGAGCGATAGCCACGGAGACGGAGGTAGTCAAGGATGAGGGCTTCATCGACGTCCCGATGACAGATTGATGTGGGATATGCGAGTACAAGGACGATACCTTCATGAATCTCCATTTTTCTGCCTCTTTAGAGAGAATAGAGTTCAACAGAGAGAGAGAGAGAGAGAGAGAGAGAGAGAGAGAGAGAGAGAGAGAGAGAGAGAGAGAGAGAGAGAGAGAGAGTAGATGCGGGACCCATTAAAAAAGAAATAGGAAATCAATTAAAAAAAAGGGACAAAAAAATGTTAAAAAGTAGAACCCACAAAGGGCAATATTGTCAGAACATTGTGTTAATGAGCGTTTTAGTCAAAGGGAGTGGAAAAAGCATGGCCCTAAGAATATCTTTAATAGTAGAAAAACCCCCAGCTAATATATTTATGACAAATTTACTCCAAACTAGCAACTAATTTTTTGACCACCAAAATTCTCAAATTGGTATAAATGTGATAAATTTACCCTCAGTTAGTTTCCGTTAAATTTTACCATCAAATTACTGAGCTGGATGACATGTGGCAGTTGACGGGTACACCCATTTGGGATTTTATCCTCCATTTGTCACAGGTGTTCTAGTTTGTGATTTTTCGTGGTATTAATCCAATTTAACGGAAATTAACTAAACATAAATTTGTTACAAGTGTACCAGTTTGGGATTTTTTGTGGTCAAAAAATTAGTTTGGGGTAAATTTGTCACAGGTGTACCAGTTTGAGGTTTTTTGTGATAAAAAAATTAGTTTAGGGTAAATTTGTCACAGGTGTATCAATTTAAGATTTTCCGATGTATTTTTTTTTTTTGGTAAGGTTTTCGATGTATTATTAACCCTTCATAATATGGAGAAACAACATTTCTTTGTACCACTGTAAGGATTCTTTTCTGGAAATCAAATATGGAATGAACATTTTGCTCTTCTATCAATAGTTAATAGCAAACATTTATTCAAAATATATAAACAGAAAACGAGAAAAGCATAAAGGTGGTTATTATACTGTAACTTACGAGGATAATTGAAGAATTTCACCAGGTGTAGTTGCTAGGGGGCGTGAACTTTTTTTCTTTTTTATCCTTTTTCTTTTGCCAATTTTTCTTTTTTTTTTCTCTTTAAAATTGTAGCACAATATTGAAGTAAAACAGGGATTCGGCTTATATCGACTCTTGGCAGAGGTCTCGAATTTTTTATTTGCAACATAAGTTGCCTTACTGTGTTATTGAATTATAATCTTGTCATCTCGCTTATATCGACTAGTGCCTAGGCATTTAGCCTGATGGTACGAATATAAGTGGGTGGAATATGAACACGAGATTGCGCTCAGGTCCCAAACGAAGGTCAGAGAAAACACTGAGCATCCTTACATATACCAACAATAGTCTATCAAATTGGTTTTTAAGTAAGATGATGTTTTATAAATGGACATCGAAGTTAATGGACTTATCTAAATATGCAATATGATTCTACAATATTACTTAATGAATAGATTAAGCTTCCACATCATTTGGGTGGAAGAGTCCATGTTCTATCTCCATGACAAATTGAATATATGGCTCTACTTTGAAAGTTCGTATCTCTCTAGAAGCATTGTCTAACATTACCCCAACAATTATTACGAATGTTGCTATTTTCTAATGTGGCGGCACAAAAATTTCCACACGTACTTAGACTATCTTTTCTTTTTTTGTTTTGTATTTCCTATCTCTAACTCTCCTCGCTCTCTGACTTTTGCTTTACCTCTTGCATAGCACGGAAGTCAAACCTCGCACTTGCGATACTAGCGTCCTCACGCCCCCCAATCCTTTTACCAGTAAGGCCGCATGCCTATTGGCTACTTAGATCTTCGTCAGCATCCATTTTAGACTATCTAAGTTGTATAACTATCCTTTTTTTTAAGTTATGTTAAGGATAATGACACAAATAGTCCCTGAACTTTGGCTCAATATGCAATTTGATCCTTGAACTTTTAATTTGTTCAATTTAGTCCATGAATTTTAGCCTAATGTGCAATGTGGTCTCTGAACTTTTAATTTATGTAATGTGATCCTTGGAATATTCAGAAACGACATTGAACATTTTTTATATAGTTCATAGACTAAGTCGAATATGAATCAAAAGTTCAGATATCACATTGAATAAATTAAAAGTTCAGGAATTATGTTGTACATTAAGTCAAAATCCATGAATTATTTGTGTCATTTTGCCTTATGATAAAACAACGGTCAATAAAAATACAATAAATTTCTTTTCACAAGTCTTCACATGTACAGTGATTGAAAGTGAAAAGGATACGTGTCAGTTGTCATTAGGGACGGTGGACTCCTGAAAAGACAAAGACTTACTGGGACTAGGGACCGTTCCACTCGTTGGACACTTCCTAGTATGAACAGACTCGTTAACAAAAATCCACTTATAAATGTGGCCACCCGATTGAAAAGAATGACCAATCCCTCTAGCTGAAACCTACTCTTTCTCTGTCGTTAGCATACTTCCCTTATCATCAAGAATCAGAAGAAACACATCATCAGCATCTGCGATCTCTCATCCTCCAGGTTGTTATCAATGGAGACACAGGTGAACATATCGGGGAGCTCGCTCATCGTGCCCTGTGTTCAGGACATAGTGAAGGAGAACCTGACCACAGTCCCGAAGAGATACGTCCGCGACGATCAAGAGCCTCCTGTGATCACGGACGCCCGTTCTGGCTTGCCTCAAGTCCCCGTGATCGACTTGGGGAGGTTGGTCTCGGAGGACCGTGCGAAGCCGGAGCTCGAGAAGCTGCACCATGCGTGCAAGGACTGGGGTTTCTTTCAGGTACGAATCAACTTTTGCATTTCAAATACAGAGTATTCAGCGAAGTGTCAGAGAAAAATAGGAGTTCATTGATTGCAAGAGATTTAAATCCACATGACTCCATTTTGGCTCTCAACGTCGTCATATATGTTGATAATGAATGATTCGGATGGATTGCAAGGGATACATAGTTACCGATGAACCCAAGAGGCTGGCAAAGGCGGGCGACCCTCGCCAGTGGAGACAGTTAGATGTACAATTTTTAGCCACCAATTAGTGTAGAATGGGATTCATATGAAATTAACCTCCTATCAAATCTAAGATTCTGCTTGATCAGCCACTGTGCATCCTGATTTTATTGGGTTAAGAAAGTGGAATTTTTCTGTGCCATCTTGCCCTGTTTCACTAGAATAAATAAGTCATTGAAAATTTCCAACGGAAGAAGAAATGTGGGAACTTTAGATGAACTTGGAGATGTGAGTTCCTCGGTTGTCTCTGTTCTAAAGCACGCTAATAACACAAATTTATCTATTGCAACTTTCTTGATTTATGTTGGAATTGAGATCTCTTGATCCCTCGTCGTCGGGAGATCAGAGCTTTCTCTGTCTTGATCTCAAAGAAAAGCCTGTTCTGGGTGGATCATGAATGATAGTTCTGTGTTAATAATTGTTCAGCTGATAAATCATGATGTGAGCCCTAAGCTGATAGAGAAAGTGAAGAAGGGGACCGAAGAGCTGTTCAACATGCCAATGGAAGAGAAGAAGAAGTTTTGGCAGAGAGATGGCGAATCGGACGGCTTTGGACAGGCCTTTGTGCTCTCGGAAGACCAAAAGCTTGACTGGGCTGACATCTTCTACATGATGACTCTCCCTGCTTCTATCAGGAAGCCTCACTTGTTCCCCAAACTTCCTCTTCCCTTCAGGTTCTTTCTCTCTAACACTAATACCATGGGGGCGAAACACGCATAAAAAACACCATAAAACTTTCATGTGACACTTGTGCCATGTGGGTGAACATGTATAAAATAGGAGATCACTTGATTAGGTGAGTGATACTGCATCAGCATAACACTTGATGTGATCGCTACATGAACAACTTTCTTCTTGTTGAGGGTTTAGTGCGTGGCATGTTCCAAGATATCTTCTTATTGCCTAAAGAATGAAATTATCCACATGCTAGAGACGATCTGGACACCTACTCGAAGGAAATGCAAACTCTAGCGATAAAGCTCCTCTACCTCATGGCGAAGGCATTAGGAATGGAGGCGAAGGACCTTGAGGGGATGTTTGAAGGCGGGTTGCAAGGGATGAGGATGAACTATTACCCACCATGTCCACAACCCGAGCTTGTAATAGGCCTCAACTCTCACTCCGATGCTGATGCGATTACCATTCTCCTCCAGGTCAATGAAATGGAGGGCCTCCAGATAAGGAAAGATGGGAAGTGGGTTCCTGTGAAACCTCTCCCTGGTGCTTTCATCATCAATGTTGGAGACGTCGTTGAGGTAATAGTATTGCAACATCAACTAACACATTTGACCATACTCACGATAATTCATTGTCTAATACTCAAGGCCTTCCCTTCGTTGGCTTATAGCAGATTATAACAAATGGGATTTACCAGAGCATCGAGCATCGGGCAACGGTGAATGCAGTGAAGGAAAGGGTCTCCATCGCAACCTTCTCCAGTCCAAGAATGGATGCTGAGATAGGTCCCGCGCCGAGCCTCATCACCCCGGAGACCCCAGCATTGTTCAGGAGGATATCGGCGGCAGAACATCTGAGGGGCTATCTAACGAGCAAGCTGCAGGGCAAAGCTTATCTCGACGCCATGAGGGTTCGGCACAAGGAAGCCTAGCCGAATTGAATCTACTGAGCATGAATGTTAAAATGGTGAATGGTCATGAAACCTGATTATATAACATGGGTTTTGGATCTTAGGGAGGCCCTTTCTGGGGAAGGCAATAATGAGTTCAAAAATATTTTGTCGTTGTCATCTCTTGCCCGTCTGAACTATCAAACAGCCTTGTAAAATCCATGGCATTGACTTTCTGTTACATCCTTCTCTTGCTCAAGTGATGAGTGCACATCCTCCTAACCACCTAACCAAGGCCAAATCGAAATTCATGAGACTATGGCTCGCACCTTACCTTAGTGGATCAGGTAATGTGTATGCTTTGATTCAAAATAATCGTAGACCAATAAAGAATGCCACCCGAGACACAAGAGATGTATGCAATAGCATTGTCTAAGTACACGCACATTAACATGCTTTGCATGAATAATTCATATAACCTCAGATAAGCTCATAGTTTGGCTTTATTTCATAAATATTTTATAAAAGGGGTAAAAATCATGCTCTTGTATGCAAGATTCTACAGGCCTTAGACTCGCAGTTACATGGGCCAAGAAGTAGAAAAATCAATGGCGTTGTGGAGTGAGAAAAGCTTGAAAATAGCTCCTTGCTGACCAACAAAGCATCCATTCCTGACTAACCACAAGAGGTAAAAAAGTCAAAATTTATCTTAGACCATTCACTCGTTACGTCCCTATTATAAGGATTTGTGAATCGGATGCAATCGCCAGCATCAGATGTTGGAAGACTTACCTGGAGTCCGTATAGGACTCAGTGTTCAATAAAGAGCTGGATCCAATAAAATTATCCCTCTTTTTTCGGGGGAGAGCTGCAAATTGCACTCTGCCATATTATAGAAAAACACTAGTTTCATTAATTAAACCTAGATTTCCCCACAATAAATATAGGTTTCACAATGATTGGAAGATAATAATATTGATGTGTAAACTTGATTTACAAATGAAGAGAGAGATCCGTGTAAGATTCACAATATAGCTGTCAATAGCTGTCTCACTTATGACTGACACATAAGTTTATAAGTCAATTTCGTAAAATTAGATATTATAGTATGCATGATGATATGTTTTATGAGATAAGGTTATCGTAGCCCTTGAAATTCGCTTATTGTTTAATGTCATCACTGATCAATTTTTTTTTCGATGTCATTCCTGCATTTTTTTAATTTTCATTCAATGTGGTCGTTTTATTATAGACATAACGAAATTTGTTGTGGCTATTAAAGTTTTGACTTATCATACCATTTTTTTTTCAATGTCGTCCTCGAACATCATTTATTTGTTCAAATTTGGTCCTTAAACTATTATTTCTTTGTTCTTTCTCGGACTAGTAATTTTCGACACAACCCCTAACAAGACATGCACAATGTGTTAATGTGCTCATATAAGCTTAATCATGGTAAATAATCAACTCATAATGCTTGAGTTTACCCTTTCACCCGTTTATAACGCAGTCGGACTCGTTTAGTTAAATAAGTTTAAATATTTCTTGTGTTAATATGACATGTATAGATAGATTTAGGAATACTTACAGCATGAAGTGTCAGGCTTGGGCGTTATGGTCTCGAGCCTAGCTTTGGGGGATTCGAGTATGGCCGTCAAGGTTCCGAGCATAGGTGCAGCAGACTTGGGTTCAAGCTTGGGGGGCTGGGGCATAGGAGCCAAGGTCTGAGGTCCAATCGCTGGGATTGGGGCACCGTCCCAATCTCAAGGGACTCCGGCCTGGCCTTAAGGACTTCAGTCTAGTCTCAAGTGACCTGGGCATGGGAGCTGGGTACTCAGGCTTGGTACTCGGCTTATCAGGCAGGTCACTGGGGACCCGGGCTAAATTCTTTCGAGGACCTATTCACTGGGTTTCCTGGTCCAATTTTGCAGCCCCCGAACCCTAGTGTTGGAGTTTAGGCGTATTTTGGAAAATGATTTCTGATTTATTAAAACAGAATATCATTTTCCTGAATTTAAGTATAAATTTTTTATTGACTATGAAAAATATTTCAGCTAAACCCATTTTTTTTAGTAATCCAAACACTAGAAAATAAGCAAAATATTATTCGACAGTAAATTTTTCGCCATACAAATGAATCCACTCAAAATATGTTTTTTTAATGTAGAGGAAAGGAAACACATGGATCTTTCAGCGAAATCTTTTCCTCACAAAGGTCTCTATTAGAGGTGAGGTTTTTGTACAAGGTGGTTTTAATTAATGAATGTCACTGACTGGATTAGTCGAACAACAATTTGAGTACATGTCATGGGAAATTATATTAGAAAAAAGGGAGAAATTCTCAAGCTAGGGCGGTGCATGGAGTTGCAAGAAAAGGAGAAAGGCAAGGGCACAGGAGAATGGGAACTGCAGAGAAGGGAAAGAATGAAAAAGTGAGCCGTATAATTAATTTTTTATTTAGGATAGGGCATTTCCTTCAACGTACATAGAAAGGGTTGTAGCTTGAGTCATCTTGGCTGTGGCGTTAGTGGCACCCAATAAATTCATAAGGCAAAATATATGATCTCCCTACTTTTTACACTTTGCATAATCTATTTTGCAAAATACAGTTCTGCATCCTCAGCTTTTATGTTAGATATCTAATCGCATCTCCCATGATTTAATAGCTTGTAGTGATTCACGAAAATGCAGTCTTTCTTCCCAAACTGTCCCTACCCCTTCTCTAAATTCTTCAATTCTTCATAACAAAACTCCCATTAGAAAATCATAACCCCAGCCATCCTAACCTCGCTTCCCTTGCCTCAGTAGTTGTCTTGATCTGAGGTCGCCATCCGCCATGGACATCCTCGGATCGTCCATGGCTTCCAAAACCTAGATTCAAGGTTGTGCGAGCCCGGTGACCCTGGATCGAGGTTGTGAACGTCTTGCAATCGCATGCACTTGCGTCGGCAATGACGAGTGGGTGGAGCGAGTTTGATTTTGTTGAGGTAGGGGCTTCTGGGGTTTTGCATTTGGTGGCTTTGGGTTTGTTGCAATTTCAGAGCTAGGGTTGTCTAGGTGTTTTTTCAAGAGAGGGCAATTTGGTACTTTTTATCATGGGACCTTGTCTTAGGAGGAAGAGTGGTATTTTTTATAATAGAGGACGAAAGTGGGCATGCAATGAACTATGACGAGAGTAAATCATACTTTCCTAATTATTAATCAAATATTTCTACATCAATTTTGGAAAAAAAACAAGGCCTGAATTGGATTTGTAGAAATATAGCTTTCTTGGGAAGAATCTACTAGGTTTGTTAGCATACAGTAGGAGCTCGATACCTTTCGTTTAGGGAGATTATTAAAAAGGAGCCCAAGTTTGAATCTATTAACATATCCAATTGGATACACATTTATTCAAAAGCTTAAATCAATGAGTTATGAGCTAACTATGATATATTAATTATTCTACACCATATTAATTTTTTGATGGGGATTTCTCTAACATAACTCATACGTGCATCTTAAAAGGAAGGTTATCTCAATACCAAAAAAAAAAAAATGGAAGGTTATCTCATCAAAATTAATATGTCCTCAGTCTATGTTCAGCCATAAGTCTCTTTAGGCAGCACGCCATCACCTCACATTCAGCTAGAACATGGCTATCTAACCTTCAGCGAATGCGCTATTAAGAAGTCACTCTTGACTAAGCAACTGGCCAACCAATTTTTTTTTAATAATATAAAAAGGGTGGGAGGATAATCTGCTGTGGAAATTTTTTTTTTTTTACTGTCTTTTAAAGATAATTCTCTTTTATAAAAAAAAAAATAGAGGACAGATATTGACCACCCAAGCATTTGTTTGTTTGCTAGATAGTCTATAGTGGATGCAGATGAAGTTAGTTACATACTGTCTATGATGGAACTCGCTCTTTAACATATGAATTATATTGATCATATCAAATCCTGTTCTTCGAGCATATTCTTAACTTACCACCTATTCTAACTATAAATTAAACTTTTCAATTTGGTATCCACCCTTATATTTACAAAACTGTCTTTCGTTTTCTTAGAGTTTATTATTTTTATCGAAATCTATTATCGGAAGCTAACTCTTATCAAAGAAGTTGAAGAGATGCATATCACTTATATACTAACTCCAAATACGATAAACACCCACAATTCTTGACTCTGCTTATCCACCAATTCGTGCCGCTCATCCACTAATCCACAACATAACTATACACAATTTTTCAGGTAAGGACACAATGTAGTCGACCTCTTACTTCATGATGTCTTTTATGAAATTCCAATTTCAATTTGCTATGCGAAAGATTTTCATGCGTCTTGCATTACTCAATTTGATTGTTCACATTCATGTAAATATTCTTTATATCATCGGATATTCATTGAAAAAAAAATTTATAGCACAAAAAAGAGCATGAAAGCGACTAGGGTCTTGCTCGAGATCTAGGAGATGTTTTTATTTTCAAAAATTCTGGATCGCAACTATGGAGACACAAGTATTTGCAGCCCATGAAATACTCTGCAAGTTCCATGACTCAGTTAAGTTCAGACCTTTGGTTTATGCAAATATCCTGATTCAGAGCAGTTTGCACACAGTTGATAGAATTTGCAACTTTCAATTCTTGAGTTAATGGTCCCCAAACTCCAATTGTTGCGTCAATGCTGGGGTGCTAAGCATTGGAGATGTTCAACTTGCACTTATAATTTAAAAGTGGAACATGGCGGGTGAAACTTTCTTTAATATAATAGAATACATATCCAAACTAATCAATCAAATCTGCAAATTTACATATTTTTTTCAATAATTGTTAGGAGAAAGAACATTTTCTAAAGGACCATTACACTCGGAACATTTTCTAAAGGACCATTACACTCGTTGGACACTGCCTATTACGAACAGACTCGTTAACAAAAATCCATCTATATATATCGACCTCCTGACTAAAAAGAATGACATCTCCGTCTAGCTGAAATACAACTCTGTCACCTGTTTTCTCTCTTCTTAGCATACTAAGCTCATCATTCAGAGCAACTATATCATCAGTCTTTGTGATTTCTCATCCTCTGGATTGTTATCAATGGACACACAGGTGAAAATTCTAGGGAGGTCGCTCCTCGTACCGTGTGTTCATGACCTACTGAAGGAGAACCCGACCATGGTCCCAAAGAGATACGTCCGTGATGATCAAGAGCCTCCCATGGACACTCGTTCCGGTTTGCCTAAAGTCCCTGTGATCAACTTGGGGAGGTTGGTTTCGGAGGACCGTGCGAAGCTGGAGCTCAAGAAGCTGCACCATACGTGCAAATACTGGGGCTACTTTCAGGTACAGAACAACTTCAAGAAATTGTTTAGAGAAAAATGGGCCTAATACCAAAAAAAATCTCAAACTTTAGCTTTTGTCCCATTTCTACCTTTTGTCTCATAAAAAAACCTCCAACTTTATGTCATGTCCCAATTCTACCCTAAACTTTTTTTTGTCCCATAAAAAACCCTCAACCTTAGGTCTTGTCCCAATTCTACCATAAACTTTTTTTTGTCTCATAAAAAACTCTCAACTTTTGGTTTAGTACTAATTTTATCCTAAACTTTTTTTATCTCATAAAAAAATTCTAACTTTTTGTCAAGTTTCAATTTCACTCTATTTTTTTGTTTCACAAAGATCTCCATTAACCCTTCGTTAAAATCGCCCTCAGGATTTTATGCTTATCGATCTCTTATGCTTGGGAATATTCCATCTCTTGCGGTCGGAGAGTGCTTGGGATACTTGAACAGTTCTTGCTTGAGGGATTTCTATCTCTTGGTTGTCAACGAGAAAGTTTGGACGGAGGGTTAATGGAGTCAGATTTGTGACTCAAGTAAAATTTTGTGGTTTTTTATGAGATTGTAAAATTTTTATGGTAAAATTGAGATTGGATGGTAAAATTGGGACAATACCAAAAGTTGGAGGTTTTTCATGGGGCAAAAAAAAAGCTTAGGGTAAGATTGGGATAGAATCCAAAGTTGAGGGTTTTTTATGGGACAAGAAAAAGTTTATGGTATAATTGGGACATGACTTAAAGTTTGAGATTTTTTATGAGACAAAAGGTAGAAATGGGACAAAAGCTAAAGTTTGAGGTTTTTTTGGGTATTAGCCCGAGAAAAATGGGAGTCCATCGACTGGAAGAGATTAAAATCCACATATAGTGCCCCAAGAACTTTGAATACATTTAGGCTCTCAAAATCGAGACCCATGATGATGACGAGTGACTCAGATGCATTTGCAAGGGCTGGCGAATCTCGCCACTAGGGACAGATAGATGTCCAACTTACAATAGTCTGTGAATTTCATATGAAATTTTTTTATTTTGCTCCCCCGACACACTTTTTGCCTCCAAATCTAAGTTTCTGCATCAGCCGCATCCTGATTTCAATGGCTCAAGAAAGTGGGATATAATCTGTGCCATCTTGCCCTAATTTACTAGAATACTAAAAATGGGTCATTGAAAACTTCCAACGGCAGAAGAAAGGTGGGACCTTAGATGAATTTAAAGATGTGACTTCCTCGATTGTCTATGTTCTAAATAATGCTAATACGACAAACTTATCTATTGCAACTTTCCTGATTTATGTTGAAATTGAGTTCTCTTGATTACTCATCACTCGGGAGATCAGAGCTTTCTCTGTCTTGATCTCAAAGGATTGCCTGTTTCTGGGTGAATCATGAATGATAGTGCTATGTTAACAATTGTTCAGCTGATAAATCATGAAGTGAGCCTTAAGTTGATAGAGAAAGTGAAGAAGGGGACCGAAGAGCAATTCAACATGCCAATGGAAGAGAAGAAGAAGTTTTGGCAGAGAGACGGCGAATCGGATGGCTTCGGACAGGCCTTTGTGCTCTCGGAAGACCAAAAGCTTGATTGGGCTGACATCTTCTACATGCTCACTCTCCCTGCTTCTCTCAGGAAGCATCACTTGTTCCCCAAACTCCCTCTTCCCTTCAGGCTCTCTCTCTCTCTCTCTCTCTCTCTCTCGTACCAGGGGCAAAATAGGCATAAAAGACACCATAAATCTTTCATATGACACTCTGTACCACATGGGCCAACATGCATAATATAGGAGATTACTTAATTAGATGAGTGATATCACGTCAATATGATACGTAATATAATTGCTACATAAATACATTTCCTGTTGCAAGGGTTTAGTTTGTGGCCTGTTGCCAAATATCCCCTTATTGCCTAAAGAACAAAATTGTCTACATGGTAAAGACAATCTGGATGCCTACTCGAAGGAAATGCAAACCCTATCAATAAAGCTCCTCTACCTCATGGCGAAGGCCTTAGGAATGGAGGCAAAGGACCTTGAAGAGATGTTCGAAGGAGGGTTGCAAGGGATGAGGATGAACTATTACCCGCCGTGTCCGCAACCTGAGCTCGTGATAGGCCTCAACTCTCACTCTGACGGCGACGCCATTACCATCCTCCTCCAGGTCAACGAAATGGAGGGCCTCCAGATAAAGAAAGATGAGAAGTGGGTTCCTGTGAAACCTCTCCCTGGTGTTTGCATCATCAATGTTGGAGACATTGTTGAGGTAATAGTATTTACAATATCAAATTGCTCATTTTACCATGTTGATGATGATTCATTGTCTCATCCTCAAAGCCTTCCCGTCATTGGCCGATAACAGATTATAACGAATGGGATTTACCCGAGCATCGAGCATCGAGCGACAGTGAATGCAGTGAAGGAGAGGATCTCCACTGCATCGTTCTTCAGTCCGAGAATCGATGCCGAGATTGGTCGCACGCCAAGCCTCATCACCCCGGAGACCCCAGCAATGTTCCGGAGGATAACAGTGGCAGAATATCTGAACGGCTATCTATCAAGGGAGCTCAACGGCAAAGCTTATCTCGACGCCATGAGGGTTCGGCACAACGAAGCCTAGAAGTGCCAAGTCGTATCTATTGAGCAAGAAGGTGAAAATGGTGATACGGAGAATGGTGATGAAACCTAATTATATGATATGGGTTTGGTATTTAGGGAGGTCCTTTTCGAGGAAGACAATAACGACTTCAAAACTTCAAAACTTCTTGTGATTCTCATCTCTTGCTTGTCTGAACCGTCAAACAGTCTTCTAAAATCCATGGTATTGACCTTCTGTTCCGCCCTTCTCTTTTTCTTTTTCTTATATCCTCTAACTAACGCCAAATCGAAATTTATGAGACTATCGCTTGCATCTTACGTTAATGGATTTATATGGTGTACGGGGAATTTTTTAAGTTTGGACTAAATTATTTAAGTTAGTTTCCTTGTCACTTAGAACATGGTGCTGTTAGAAAGGAGGGGCTTTTGCTGGTTCGTGGGTATGTACAAAGCTGACGAGACCAAAGCCTATTAAAGACCTGCCATTTACGAGCATGCACACGGAAAAAGCTTGAGCAGAGAGCCTTTTTTTTTTTTGTAGTTCTCCTGCCTTGCTGATCCTTGCCTTTCACCGATGCGCTTCTCGTCTCTGTCAGTGATGGCCACCCCAAAGAGTGCCCTGTTCTGCCCTGTTCTCGGCCTTGGAGACTCGAAGCGAGTCGTTTGAATCCGAAGCTCCACAAGCCACGTTGCCCGGATGTTCTTCCTTGTACTAGCTGGACTAGTAGTGATTGCAGCTGAGAACATCTCATCTCCTCAGCAAGGTAACCTCGGCCCCTTTTGTTATACTCTGTTCTTGTGATGCACATAACATGTTCGACAAAATGTCCAAAACTGAATCCGTACAAATTAGTCCTTAATCCTGACTCGTTTTGAGTGTATAATGATACGTCACACATGATTGCAACTCTTTGTTGATGGCTCAGCATGATTTTCTGCCACATTTATTTCCACCTGAGACCAAATCTGAACAACTTCTCTTTTTGACTGTGCTTGCTCGGTGTTTACACATCTTCCTGCTGCGTTCAATGATGGTCATCAGGCGAGGAACTGACTCAAGAATCGACGGTCCGAGGGTCAATTTATCAGCTCGATTGGTCAGGTTTGTTCATCGCATCCCTTTATCCGATCACGTCCCTGTTTTGTTCCTTGCGCCTGTGGAGGCCGTGGCCGGCGTATGTTGGTGACTGTGTGGCGGACGATGATGGGTGGAGATTTGATAACGAGTAATAGGAAGATTAAGGGAGATGAATATGTGGTTGATGCTTGGATGATTTGGTAGATGGATCGTTGATCGTGTTTTGGGTGCTCTCTTACTACGAGGAAGGCGATGAAAAGTATCGGTATTGCGAGGAAGACGATGAGAAAAAGGATTAGGAAAGAAAAAGAAATAATAAAGTAGAAGTAATGAAAGAGAAATAGGGCTTCATATGTCCACAAGTGAAGTATGTTTAACAAATTTTCATGTTTGGATCAAATTGGACTAGAAATAGAATTAGAATATATTATGTTATAGAATTAGATGGCCTTAATGCAATCATAAATAAAATTACTCTTTATAGACAAAGCAAAAAAATTTAAAAAAATTAACTAAAAAAATTGGCAAAAAAAATTTTAAACTCAGGAAATAGTTTAGAAGCAGGTTGGTGATTAGGTTTTTCATTTTATTTTAGCACTAGACGTGGCTTAGTTTTATTTAGTTAACGTGGCTTTTAGTTTAGGGATATTAGTGATCATCTTTGATATCAGTTTATTTTTAGTATATTGATCTTTTAAGTAAGAAGCTAGACTCAATTTGAAATTAGATCATGGGGGCTACTATCTTCCTCACTTGGTTTCGTAGATTTAAGGGTGCAAAATCACCTTGTAACTCTTGCTGCTCGCACTTGACAAGGATCTTCCCAAGAGAAAATTGATTTTTACATCGTGATTGGGCCCATTTTTGTACAACAAATAGGAAAAATCCCAAATAAGGGTCTGAAGTGTCTTTATTTTCTCAAATAAATACCTCAAGTGGACATTATCTCAAATAAGAATCTGAAGTGTTATCATTTTCTCAAATAAAGGCCTGAAATGAATTTTGTCTCAAATAAGAGCCTAGAAAAAGGGCCTGACCTTGTTGGCTGAAGAGCATTTTCATCCTTTACCTTTTTTTAAATTCTTTTTCCTTTCTTTGTTTTTTTTCCTGTAATTTTCTTTTTCTTTTTTTTTTCTTTTCCCTCTTTTCGCCGCTGGCCATGTGGAGGTCAACATACTCAGGCGAGGGCCGCCCTCGCCTACCCAACCCAGGCAAGTCGACTCTCTCATACCTAAGCAAGGGTCCAGATCAGGTGAGGGTGGCTCTCGCCTGAAGCCGGCAAGGGCGGCCCTCGCTTGAGGTCGGTGAAGGTCACCTGTAATGGTCGGGGAAGAGAAGAGGGAGAAAGAAAAAAAGGAAAAAGAAAGGAAAAGAAAAAGAAAGTAAAAAAATTAAAAAAAAATGTACTTCAAATCTTTTGACTAAAATACCCCTACTCCAATTACCAAAATAGTCACCGGCTAGCCACAATCCTTACTTGAAACAATTTGGCCACTTTAGGCCCTTGTTTAAGATAATTGACCACTTTAAACTTTTATTTAATACGAGATCCACTTCAAACTTTTATTTGAGAAAATGAATGTATTTCAAATTCTTATTTGAAATTTTTCCTAACAAATATTAGGTTTCCATGAGATAACAGTCCAATAAAAAATAAAAAAATTCAATAAAATCGCTCCGTCCTTGTCAAAATGTAATATATATAATACACAAAAGTGGAGACGGGTGGGGGGCGGAAGGCCGTACGCTATTATTGTCGTCTTCCCGCCTGGGCAGCTTTCCGTTTAAAAAACTCAACCTTCACTTCCTTTTTCTTTTCTTTTTTTTTTCTGGCGAAATATCGATACGAAAAAAACATTTAAACCCTACGAAAAAATAAAAACCCGCTGATTCAGAACTCTCGTCTCTCACGTCTCCCAAATCCCATCTCTTCCTCCTCTCCTCCGGTCGTTCCGCCACCTGTCACGGCGGTGGAGCCACCGCAGCCGAGCTCACCGGCGGCGACCCACCGGCCCACTGCTACACCGGCGTTGCCTCAAGTATCAATTGGTTTTTCCTTGTCTTTTTCTTCAGTTCTTTTGTGGGTTGAGATCTTTTTGCTGATTTCTAGCTGTTGCTTTGTGGGTCAAGTTTCTGTTGCTGTCGCTCCTATCTGATATGCCGAGGTTTTTTGGTTCGTGCATTCGTTGTTCTGTAGTGTGTCGGCTGTTAGCTCATATATTTGTTGTCCCAATGGAGGTCGAGAACTTTGGAAGATCATAAAGAGCAGGCTTTAAATTGAATTAAGCTATTCAGATAATGAGCTGACAGAGCTTGATGCTATGATAAACAGAGCAGATTGTAAGAGACAAGTAAAGATGTTAATGTTGTTCTTCACTCAAATTTTGTAACTATAACAAATTTTTATCCTTTATAATAGTGTTCAGAGTCTGCTTGTTATTGTTGTAGAATTATCGGACAGTTTGTAATTTGATTTTGAATTTGAAGGGAGCCTGCCAAACAGGCAGGTCTATTCTTGTGTTCTATGATCATGTTTAGTCAATCTCAAATGTGGGTTTTGACTACCACGGGATAATGGAGTTTGAGGACGGGTATTCGGCGCGGGAGTTGTTCCATCAGGGTTACTCCTACACATATGATGATGTCATCTTCCTCCCGGGTGTCGCGCCGCGCTTTTTAGGGATTTTCGGGATTTGCGCGCTAAGGAGGTATTTCCGTATAAGGGTCTCTCCCAGACCATACCTCATGTGACAGTGGAAGGTGATTTATTATTTTGTCTAGGTTTGTGATTTTGGAGTCGCCACTAGTCATTATTGGTAGGTAGACTAGAAACTTAATTGAGGTACGGGAGAAATACCACGATTTTACGAACCAGAGATTCTGAGTACGGGGAATTGGTTACGTTATTGATCCCGAATCGAGATCCCTAACGCCCTTTCAGTACCTAAGAACGATATGATGTCTAACGTGTCATGCGAATTTCCGAGGCTTACCCACTAATTCTATCCGTTCTAATCGCAGGAAAGACCAAACAAGTATTAAATGCACAATCAAAGTCAATCAGATCAATCAATCCTAAGTGGTCTCTAAAAACGAAAATCAATCACAACATCCAAACCCTAATGAAGCTCTAAAAGCTTATTCATTTCATAATATGCATTTTTTAGGATTTTAGAGTTTTTTAGGGGTTATAATCCTGAATTTGATTTTCACCTTCTCGGGTTACTGTTCATGCGAACAGAACATGTGCTCTGCTAGGGTTCTTGGGGACACTGTTCACCCGACGGAAAATTGATGATTCCGGCGGTTTCCGGCGACGATTGAAGACGAGATCAGGAGTCTTAGGCCGCTGGACTCTCCCCTTCGTGCTGTCCTTCTGATTTCTTCTCTCTCGTAGTAAAGAGGACGGCACTCCAGATCTGATTCGGCCTTCCCTGTTCTGTCGCTTGAGTCTCGATTCAGCTCTCGAACGGTTCTTCTGGACTTACACCGAAGGGGAAGCTCTCTCGCCTTGAAGGTAACTCTTCCTACAAGTCTATTTCACTGGTGCTGCTGGTCTTGGCCTGGACGCTCTCAGTTGGGGTGCTCGAGTTTCGGTTCTGAGTTTATGCTGAGATGGTTGTTGTTGAGTCTGGCTGATTGCTTGTTAGTGCTGGTGGTGGTAATTTTGATTGGGTTTAATGGAGGAGGTTGCTAGGAACCCTTTGCCTGGCCCTGAGCCGTCTAGGAAGTCCCTGAACCCATCCAAGGCTTCTGTCGCTGATCACCCTCCTGTTGGAACTTCTGTAGTAGAACAGTTAAGGAATTCAACTCTGGCTGATCCCCTGCTGGCCCTAATCGTAATCGGAGTAGGGGTAGGTCGAAGATTAGAAGCCGCTCTCTTAGGCGCGGTCAATTTGTAGCGTCCTCAAGTCGCAATCCTAGTGCTAAGGGGACTGGAACTGTGCCTGGACAGAATGGTAGCCAACCTCATGGACTCCCTTCTGCGGCCCCCAAACCCAGAACTTGGGCAAACGTTGCAAAGGTCTTAGCTAAAGGTTACAGCCTCTCTTATGTTCCCCCGAGAGAGGAAAATGGTGAATTGGTCGCGGACATTACACCAGACATTATGGCTGATGAAAATCCCCTTTGGCAGGAATGTGTCGTTGGACACTACATTGGGAAGAAAGTTCCCTTTAAGCTGACTAAAGAGGCTATTAGGAAAGCATGGGGTGATAAAGTGGCTGACATTAAACTCCATGAAAATGGATTCTACTTCTTTAGGGTCCCAGATTCTGTATCCCGCAGGCAGCTCATTGATTCTGATCCGGTCACAATTTTCAGCTGCACTATGTTACTGCAGCAATGGCATTCCAAACTAAAACTCAAAAGAGGAGTTCTTGAGACCATCCCGGTTTGGGTAAGATTGCGAGACATCCCCTTCTCCTTATGGTCTCCTTTTGGCATTGGGCGAATCGCTAGTGCCTTAGGGAAACCTCTTTATGTTGATGTTCAAACAGAACAAATGTCGAGGATCTCTTATGCTCGAGTCTGTGTGGAGATAAAGGCTTCAGACCCTAGAGCTGAACAAGTGAAGTTCCGGTGGGAAGATGAAGTAAATGTAATTCATGTTGAGTACGAATGGAAACCGCTGGCTTGCCCTTCCTGTGGAAATTTTGGGCATAAAGAAGGTTCTGCTGGTTTCAAATGTGCAGCTCAATCTGCACCTGACCAGCAAGACACATCTCACGCAAGCGGCCATGTCAACAGAGTAGTCCAACCTGCACCTGTCCAGAGAGATGAAGGGTGGACCCAAGTGCCTTCTAGGAAAGGCAAAGCACATGCTGGAAGGCTACACTCAGCGCCATTTTCAGCTCCTGCACAGTTCCTTCCGGGCTCTGCTTCAGGCTCGAATCTGAACACTGCAGAATCCCTTCTTGCTATTCTGCATCCACCTATGCAACCCGAGAGAGGGGATACTGACCTGAGACCTCCTGTGGTCACCGACACAGGCCCAAGCCTTCCCCCTGTTCCAAGTCCTGTAGAACCTACTGATGAGCAGACTGAGGAGCATTCTCTTCCCTTGCAGGCTTCCACCGAAGGATCTTCTGAGTCCCAGGCAATTCTGGACAATTCTAGTGACTCGGAAGGAATACTGGAAAGGGCAGCAGCCCGCTCCTCACCCCCCAACACAAGATCTCGCACTTCTATGTCTGGTGCTTCGGATGAAATGCCTAGACCCTCTCCCGGTTCTGCCCATCACACGATGCACCCTGGATCAGTTCCTAGCCCGTCTTCCTCTAAAAAGAAATCAAAAAGGAGGAAGTCAAGAAGAGCTCAGCGCTAGTTATCAGTATCTATATATGTTTTTTGGGGTATGGAACATAAGGGGCATAGTAGGACCCCTGAGGCAAGCTGAAATCCGTGCCTTCATCAGTAAGAATCACCTTCGCTGTATTGGGATTTTAGAAACCAAAGCTAAAGCCTCTTCTTTTGCTGTGATTTCAAGAGGCTTATCCACTAACTGGCGATGGCTTTCCAACTACATTTACTCCCCTCTTGGTAGGATTTGGTTCGGATGGGACCCAAATGAGCTGGATATTAGTCTCATCTTTTCTTCTTGCCAAATAATCCATCTTCAGCTCCGTTTTTTGCACCTACAGGAATCTTGCTTGTTTACAATTGTTTACGGTGAACATACTTTTGTGAAGCGTAGACAACTATGGGCTGATCTCTACCGACTCTCTAATGGCGACTTACCATGGATTGTGGCCGGGGACTTCAATGCAATCAGAGATCCGGAGGATAGGGTGGGCAGCTCAACTCCATGGATCCCATCTTTTGATGAATGTAGAGAAGGCCTCAACCAGGCCGGTTTGGAGGACCTTCGATATGTAGGATGCCGATACACTTGGACGCATTCTTCAGGGATAAATCGGAAAATGTGTAAGATTGATCGGGTGCTTATCAATGACTGTTGGCTCCAACAATTCTCTTTCTCTGAAGCCAATTTTCTTCCGCCCGGAATATCTGATCACAGCCCCATGGTGATTAAGATTGTTCCACCTAGTTCTTCAAACAAGCCGTTCAAGTTTTTCAACTTCTGGATTTCTCATCCAGTCTTCATGGAAATAGTTACCCAAGTTTGGGATACTCACTTCATTGGCACCCCTATGTTTATAGTTTACTGTAAACTCAAGGCTCTCAAAGCAAAGTTGAAACTTATGAACAGGACCTCCTTCTCAGACATTTCAAACAGGACAGAGCAGGCCAGATTGAATCTCTCCACTGTTCAAACAGCCTTGGAGTCAAATCCTTTTGATCAAAACCTAAATGCAAGCGAAGTCACACTATTGCGAACCTTCTCTGACTTGAGATCTCAAGAAGAATCTTTCTTCAGACAGAAGTCTAGAATCCGCTGGCTCAAGGAAGGAGACTTGAACACAAAATATTTTCATCACTTTGTTAACAAAAGGAGACTTCACAATAGAATCCTAACTGTTTCAACAGAGGATGGTGTGCTAATTACCGATCCTCAGGAAGTCAACAGCCATATCGTACGCCACTTTCAGAGTTTATTAAATGGCGGTTCAGCACCAGCCCAACCTTCTGTTTCAGAGTTGGAGATTCTTATTGAGAAAGTCTTAGATGAAAATCAGAGGACTAACCTAACTCAACCGATTACTGAGGAGGAAATCAAATTAAATCTTTTCTCGCTTGCTAAGGACAAAGCTCCTGGCCCTGATGGTTACAATGTCGAGTTCTTCAAACACACATGGGAGATCATTGGCCCATCTATTCTGACGGCTATAAAGGACTTCTTTGAGACTGGTCGAATGCTTAAAGAGATTAATAACACCATCTTAACGTTGGTGCCGAAATCCCCCAATGCATCGGCCATGAGCGACTTCCGACCAATTGCATGCTGCAACACCCTTTATAAATGCATCTCCAAAATCCTTGCTGGGCGCATTGCAAAGGTTATACCGACGTTGATTGGATCTTCCCAAACAGCTTTTGTTAAAGGCCGCAGAATCAGTGACAACATCATGGTTGCACAGGAGCTTTTTGCGGACTTTCACCATGAAGCTTACCTACCTAAATGTGCCATTAAGGTTGACTTCCATAAAGCCTTTGACACGCTTGATTGGAACTTCATTGAAAGGGTACTTACAGCCTTCAAATTTTCAGCTTTTTTCATTAAGCTGGTTATGACTTGCATCTCAACTGCTAAATTCTCGGTCTCCATTAATGGAGAATTGCATGGGTTTTTTGTTAGTAGCCGAGGGATACGTCAGGGCGATCCCCTATCGCCGTACCTATTCATCCTAGCTATGGAAATCTTCTCAGCTATCCTCAAGTCCAAAACTGACAGCCCAGACTTCCAGTGGTTTTGGCGATGTAAGAAACCTCGCATATCTCAATTGTTCTTCGCAGACGATGTTCTTTTATTTTCGCAAGGGCACATGAGATCGTTAGAGCTTATAAAGGAATCCCTTGATTTGTTCTCAAACTGTTCTGGCTTAAGACCAAATCTTAATAAGAGCAATATGTACCTCTCGGGAGGTAATCCCGAACTCCGTACTGCTCTTCTTCAATGCATCGGTTTTCAACAAGGTTTTTTGCCCTTTCGTTACTTGGGGGTGCCTATTATTTCCTCTAGGCTGCGTAAAGAGGATTGCAAATTCTTGATAGATTCCATTACGGCACGAGCCCGTTCTTGGACCCAAAGATTTCTATCGTTTGCTGGACGCGCACAGCTCATACAATCAGTTTTGCTTTCCATCCAACTTTACTGGGCCGCGATATTCTCCTTTCCCAAATCGGTCTTGAATAGCATTGAGGCTATACTTCGACGTTTCCTTTGGAAAGGTCCTGGCTTAGGAACGGGAGGTGCTAGGGTATCTTGGAATGTCGTTTGTCTCCCAAAAGAAGAAGGCGGCCTCGGGATACGAAGACTTACTGAATATAATAGAGCCATGACCCTAAAGCACATATGGATCCTTTTCACCGATAAGGAATCTATGTGGTGCAAATGGATACATTCAAACTTTTTAAAGAAGAAAAACTTTTGGGTTGTATCCAAACCCACCTTTTGCTCATGGACTTGGAAGAAGATTCTTGACTTGCGAGTCTCAGCCCATACCCTTTTCCGGTGGAAGATTGGCGATGGCCGGTCCATATCCTTTTGGTATGATTGGTGGCACACAAGAGGGCCCCTTTACCTTCTTTTCAACAATACGGACATTTACCAATCTCGGATCCCGCGAGACTTTTCGGTTCGGGATTTTTTCCACTCTACATGGCAACCATCAGCAACCTTACACTCCATTTTGGAATGGATGGATGATCTTCCAAGATTAGAAGATGACACTCCGGACAGCTTGATATGGAGCCCAAACCTGACTGAATCCTTCTCGGTGGCCCGGGCCTGGAATCATATTAGGAAGAAAGGCCATCCAGTCCCTTGGCACTCCCTTATATGGGACTCTCATTTGACCCCCCGCCACTCCTTTTTACTATGGATTGTGTCTTTAAAACGGCTACCTACCCAGGTTTTTCTTATGCAAAATCGCTGGATCGAATCAGGATTATGTGCTTTCTGTCGCACTATCCCAGATTCCATCAACCATCTTTTCTTCGAATGCCCCGTTACTAGCAGGCTAGCCTCATTTTGGGCAACCAAATGTAACCTGCCATGGCGTAATCGTCCGTGGCTGGAGCTTCTTTCGTGGGCCATCAAAGTTTGCGGAGGCACTTCCTTCGCCCACCGACTTGCTAGATTTTCCTTTGGTGCTCTTTGCCACATCATATGGATTGAGCGGAACAACTCTCTCTTCAGAAACAAGAGTATCTTCATTCCGGGAATACGCAAACATATTCTCAAGTTGGTGAAGGATAAAGCTTTATCCTCAGGGAAAATTGCTGACACACCTACAAATAGGCGACTACAAAGGAACTGGGAACTCTCACCTTCCATTTTTTCATAATTTGGTTGTGTAGTTCTATATCTTGTACCTAGCATTGTTGGTTGTTAGTCTTTTGGTTTTGCCTTGTTGAGTGCCCCCCCTCTCTCGGACTTCTTGTAAATTCGGGGCTCGGGGTTGTCTCTTGTAGTTTTCTTGTATTTGGTGATTAAGAAAAAGTAATACAAACTCTTACCTTTACCAAAAAAAACCCTGAATTTGGAATTTTTTAAAAATGCCACTTGGGTACTTCCGAAAATTCAAATTTCACTTTTTATGGCTGGCCACACTGTTTTTGGACCATTCTGTGAATTTTACAAAATTTTTGATTTTTTTTTTGGAAATTTTTTTTAACCGAGAATTGATTTTTTATGATTTTCCCAAAAATTTTATGAATTTTCTAATTTTTCCAATTTTTTATTGATTTTCCAAATTTTTCAAATTTTTTTATTTATAGTTTCTGAATTTTTGGAATTTTTATGAATTTTCTTAAAATTTTTCGATTTTTCTGTAAATTTTTGAATTTTTATGAATTTTCTGTAAATTTTTGAATTTTTATGAAATTTTCTAATTTTCTGATTTTTGTGATTTTTTATTTTTTTAGAATTTTCTGATATTTTATTTTTTTTAGAAATTTTGTAAATTTTCCTGCTGGGGACGAACCGGGCATCGCCCGAACCGGGCGTCGCCGGCGGTCTTCTCCAGCGAAACCAAAGCTAAAACGGCACCGTTTTGAGTGATTTTCATTGAGGCATTTTCACAAACAGTTAGTGTGCACAATTTCCAGTTCAAGATTTTCGAGGCCGTCGGTTTGAGCTCGTCGCCGACGAGCCTCCGGGGACCTTTTGAACATTCTGACTGGTCCACGATGAAGTCCATATATTCTATTTTCAATCTAACCTATTCAGAACGTCGGCGGACGTTCACTAGCCAGTGAAAAACCGGTCGGAAAATGTCAATTTACCATTATTCCTGACCTAACATTACCAGAAGCTCCAAGTTCCTATTTGATTCGCCCTAGCCGTCTACATCGATCAAAATAATTTTCAGAACATCAAACAAGGTAAGAACAGACTGACTTGACAGGCCTATGGCCTCGGCGATGCTCTGGCGAGAGCCTCCGAGCTTCGGCGATGGGTTTCAATGGCGAGGCCGACTCGGTTTGTGCAAGTTTAATACCCCAAATGCAATGAGATGACACCAAATGTGATTAGGAACAAGTTTTTAACACAAAAATGCTTAGAATCATCAACGAGATCGCATGAACATTCACTTTGGAACTAAACACAATTCTGGAAATTATGGAAAAACAGTGACCACGAGCGATATTTACCTTCTTTGTCCGATGATCAAACAAAATTGTCGAAGTAATCTGTGCCTATAGTGTAGTTCCATGACACTTATACTTCCTCCTGGTAGTCTTGGTCTCGCCGGAACAGGTCTCGGTGCGCCGGAAAATGCCCGATTTCAGACCTTCACTGTCAAGTTCTCTCTAGTTGCCTGAGAAGGAAATCCTCCCGAAATGGTCGATTTGCCGGCACCGATCAGTCGAACGGCGATGATCGCTCGACCTGGGGATCTCTACTTCTCTTTCTCTCTCTAAATTTCTCTCTAATTCGCGTTCGTTCTCTCTCTTCTCTCTCTCTGCAATTTCGTCAAACACCTCTCTTGCTCTCGGGTCAGTTTTTTTCCTTTTTTGTTCTGCGATCCCGCTCAAAATTTGTTGGAACCGAACTCCGATCGGTTAGGATGATTAAATGGTGCCAGACGGATATTTTCCAGCTGGCCAAATCAATTAACACGTGCTAGTTTGATCAAGAATGATCGGTCAAGTCGCGGGCACGAACTGATTTTCTGGGTTTAGTGCGCTTTGGGCAAGTCAGGTAAAGAAGATGACTTACCCGGGTCGAGTCGGGTTGACCCGGCAGACCCGGGTTGGTCTTAATTCGTCAATTAAACTCAATTTTGACCCAATTTTCCAAATTGAACCCCAAAATTGAATTCCTCATCATATTCCGAACCCAAATATATAATTTTTCCCAATTTTTATTATAATTGAGCCCAAGATTTTCTCATTTTTGTATTCGGGTTAATAGGGTTTTGTTCAATTTGATGTCCTAATGACCTGATTAGGAAAAATTGATGCCAAAATTGAATTACCCACATCTGATTAACCCTAAAAATGATGGTCTCATATTTCGACAATTTCATATTGGGCACGATTCCCAATTTGGGTTCAAAATTCTTAATTTTCAATCAAATTTTGGGGATTTTTTATTTTTATGTCAAATTGTGTAATTGGACAGACCACTATGCAATTCAAGGTCCCAGAATCATTTGTTGTGAAGGCACTATGACTTAAAAATGACTAGAAAAAAATTTAATTGCATTTTTGGTTCAATTCGAGTTTAATTTTGCTCAATTTTGGGAAAAACATATGCCCGATTAAGATTTTTCAAAATTAACAATGTATTCATGAAATTGGATTTAAAATAAGACTAATGATTATTTTATGGAATTTTCTGATTCCATTTGCTATTTTTCTTGATTTTCTTACTTATTTTGACTAAAAGAAATTAAGGAAAAATGCAGAAAAAATGCTAAAAAATTATTTTTTGGTTTAGAAATAGGTTTCTAGGCTTGGCCAAGATTCCTAGTCCTAATTTTGAAATTTTTGAAAATATTAAAAAAATAAGCTAAAAATTAGGTGTCAACAGCGGGCTATATAGGATTTCCGGTGGAGCAGGTTGACCTCTCCACCAAGCTCACCCGCAACATCTCCCTCAACATCCCATGTGTCTCCCCACCGATGGACACTGTCACTAAATCCTCCATGGCGCAAGCCATGGCAGCTCTTGGGGGCATCGACATCATTCACGCCAATATCCCTCCCTCTGACCAAGCCTCCCTGGTCAAAGCGGCCTAATCCTCCCACTTGCCGATCCTTTCCAATCCTGTATTTCGATCCCCATCTGATTCCATCATCTCCCCCGAGGATTTCGCTGATACTACTTGCGTCCTCATCACAGACTCTGGTGATTGTCGTGGAAAGTTGGTGGGCTATGTGGCCAAGTCTGATTGGACGAACCTCGCAGACAAGGAAACACGGCCGGTTGATTACATGGTCAAGTCCACTGATTTTGTCCCTTGGGATTGTGATTTGGCAAAAATGATCTCCTACTTTGAGGAGAAGGCAGGGA